AAAACACGAATATCTTAGAAAAAAAAAAAACTCCCATCAATAACAGCCAATGAACACAATTCACCAAAGCATCAACACAAAACAAAACTATGATACCAATTCCAAATGACAGCATGATGACACCAACTCCAAATGAAGCCAAGACACCAACGCGAAATGAACTATGACACCAATTCCAAATAATAGCTCTGGAAAAGATAACAACACCAACTCCAAGTAAACCCAAGGCACTAACGTGAAATGAAACTACAACACCAATTCCAAATGACAGCTCTGAAAACAACAATGACACCAACTCCAAGTGAAGGAACAACACCAATTCTAAATGATGGCTCTGGAAATGACAGCAACACCAACTCCAAGTGAAGGATCTAGTACTGATGACACCAATATTGACAACCTAAAAACTGTCACAAAAGAAAAAAATTAATGACTAGTATAACGTGTTGAAACAAAAAATCAAAAAAAAATTTAATCAGTTGATCACAATTTATACCCCATGATCAGGGGTGCACTACGGTGCATGGTGCACCAAATTAAAATTCCCAAAAAGTATTATTAGTTTAACATTCTACTGTATTGTAAAGCAGAATCTTAATAAGATAAGCAATAGCTAACTAAAAAGTTTGAAAAATAGAAAATCTTAGTAAGTTTTAAACTTCTAGAGAAAACCAAGTATTGCTAGATAGGTTTTATCTAAATACAACATAGTGGTTTAATGATTTGCTCTGATTACAAATAAAAACTACAGCAACTATAAGATAAAACTGAATGAGATTAACTTTTGGTTAAGATATTATAAACTGTAATTGATACATCACCTATATAGTGGTTTAGTTTTTCTATAAAATAAAGTAAACAGAATTGCTAAAAACAAAAAAAATTATTAAAAGTTTTATATAATCTTTGCAAATTAGTTATTTTACAAAAAACTACTCTATATTTAGAAGGTTTGTATTCTAATTCTTGTCTCTTGATTAATTAAAAACTGTATGTATTTTCTATTTATTCGAATCTGAATCTTCAAAAAATACTTATTTGATCTGACAGTATCTTTTTTTTTTTTTACAAAACACTATCCAAAGATGGCCAGCACACCGACGGCGTATGCAAATTCATTAACGTTTTGAATAACTTTCAGGAAAAATTAGTTAATTCCGGTCTTCCGACCCGGGATTTTTGGATTAGTGTCAAAATTTTGTACACAAACACTGGTTACGTACGTACGTATATATTTTGAATTTAGTACTGTACTAACGTAATGTCAGAAAAAACTTTTTATAATACAAATAAATATAACTGATAATACGTAAAAACATGCGTAAATACGTACGTACGTACGTAACGTACGTATTTACGTATTTTTTAGATACAATTCTTTTTGTACTAAATTATACAAACTATAAAAACTATAAACGAAAATCTTACATTGATAAATACGTATAAGATTTTTCTTAGTTGTCTTGTTTGGAAATTTAATAAACTAATAAAGTCTTGGTTGACAGGATTGTCAAATAAACTAATTTAATTCCATACAAAGTTAACTATATAATTAGTTTTCATAACCCAGCCGGGTTAGTTTAGAGAAATTTTTGTTTTTATATTTTTATATAAGCTTATGTATAAATTCTATATAATTGAAGTTGAAGTTGGCGGGTCATTCTAAAATCCATGTGCATTGTATTGGTGTATTGATTATGTATACTGTATGCAAATTTAAACGTTAAGTAGAGTTGAACAATTTAGGCAAGATTTTTTAATTCCGGCTATTTTATCATGTGACCTTAATGTAGTTCGAAAAACTTTGTAATATATATGCTTATTCACGCACGCATCATGCCCGCACAATACTACTAAATTTCCGCACAGAAATACTTTGCGCTCGTACCATTATTTAAGAGGGTACGTACACAATCACCGTACAAAGTGTACGTACATTATTATAAGCTATTTTTTTTTTTGAAACGTTGGTAATACCAAGTAAGATTATTTCCTTCTCTTCTTCTTGTGTGACTTATATTCATCACCTTTTTCCAACGTTGTTCTCGCCACCTTCCCTCCTTTTCAGTATATGCTTTATATTTAAATATTGTAAATCACACGACAATAAAAAATAGTAACGCTGAATAAATTCCTTTATAATCAAATTTGGTAGCTTTCGCCTTTTCAATCTCCGCACCGGCTACGACGATTTTCACTTGACATTGCAGAGTCAACCGGTGAAAGGCATCAGCTAATAATTACAAGCTAAACACATTTCCCTCTTTTATAATATTTTGTGTTAACTTTCTTTTATAAGCGGACATACCCACCCAATATACTGCACTAAGATGGATCAAGTTAGCCCGCCAAAAATGGACGGGCAACCTCCCTCCGAAGAGCAAAAGGAAACTGAAAGGGTTAGTAAAGGTTAACAAAAAGATTACTTAGTTCGTTTGCTTTTCTATTACTTTGTTTCCAATATTCTTGTGCTTGCTTGCACATAGGTTCGTTACAACATCAAACGAAACTTAAGTTCTTTTTTCCTTGAAATTTTTTTTTCATTTAACCAATTCTGTTAATGATAATTGCAATCGTTTCTTAGTGTTAATACGAATTCTAAATGCCATTTATAATACTTAATTATTTATTAGTTGACGGATAACGCTTCTCTAAAAGCTCAACTGGAACAAATGTTTGCACCTTTCGATAAATCTGGCCTTGGGAGAATTGCTTCTAAAGACCTGTTCAAGATAATTGAAGCTTTCGAATCCGAACAAAAAACTATTTTGTTGAAAGATGAAGACCGGACTACTCTTCAAATGTTCTGCGAACAAAATCCTGATATGGAGATTTCTGTTGATGATGTTCTTCAACTAGTGACTAAACTCAAAACCCCTCCAACCAATGTTACAGCGTCTTCGTCCTATAGTTCGAATGTTGTTTCAGAGCAGCCAACCAAAAGTAAGATCAAATATGGTTCTATACGATCTGCTTGGCCCCTTAATCGTCCTTCACCACGTACTCATAAAAGCAGAGAAGCCTTAACACTTTCTACTGAAATAGATGTAAGTTCTTATTAATCTTGATAAATAAAATATGTTTCCTATTTAATATATATTTAAATAAATTTAATATATTTAAATATATTTTATTATAAATTTATATTATTCACACTGTAATTCATATTGTAATTCATATTGTAATTCATGCTGTAATTCATAGGAAGAATATGGCTCTTCAAGTACTAGTGCAACCTCCCGTTCCAGAAGAATGTCGTCTGGATATTATGATTCTCCCAGCGGCGTGCTGGGCTCTAATTTCTCAAAACTACATTATGATACATCTGATGATCATGAAATGTCATTCGAGGGAAGTGGCGGATTTGATGATACGGTTTCCCAACTATTACCTGTAAGACATATATTTATACATCCTAACATATATTTAAAAAAAAAAAAAAATTCTCATTATTATTTCCTTGTTAATAGACAAACGATGATCCTGCTGTCCAACTCAGCAGATTATACCGTCACACTGTTGACCTTACAAAACGACTCAAAGAATCTGAACGTCATTTGGCTTCTGTTGCTCGTCAACACGAAGACCGTATTGAAGAACTTCAGCATAAACTGGAAGAGACAAAAGCGGATCTTGTGGCTAAAAAGCGCGAAATTCAAGATCATAAAAATAAAGAAAAGACAAACCTACATCAAATTGCACAAGTACAATTTTTTTATATTTACTTGTACTTTTATATATGTTGTAAGTGGGTGCCTAATCTAAATGATTTGGAATTTCTTAAAAATTCCGTTCCCACTTACAACACATATACCTTAGATTAATATATTTAATTTCATCGCATTACTTTTTAGTTGGAAGGTGAAATTCAGATAATAGCAAAGAATTTATCTGGCCAAATGCAACTCTATCATCAATTGAAAAAACAATACGAAGAACAACGCGGTATCTACATTGAATGTGAATGTGAATGCGTATGTTGGATTACTTTCGTATAGTATTTTAATAATTTTCTAATATATTAATTATAGAGGAGGCGGAGAAACTCAGGGATATTGTCAAGACCAAAGAGGAAGAGTTATCTAATACGCAACGGAATCTTAGTGTTATGTCTTCTGAAGAAAAAAAGGTATAAATCCTTATTTTGTTATTCAATTTAAAATTAATTATAGTAATTCATCTTTATTAATAGTGGTTAGATGAGCGCGAACGTTTGGAACATCATTTATGTAAATTAGAGCAAGATTTAAATTCTGCTCAAGCTTCAGAGATTGAACTTGAAGAACAAAAAAATGAAAACATGCACCTCAAAGAGACAATTGACAAACTGAAACTTGATTTGGATGAAATACGGAACGGAAGGGCTATTAGCAATAAAAAATATCCTTTGTAATATTAATTGTAATAACTTGTTTAAGACTTTGTTTTATAATACTTTATTTTATATTATAAATTTTGTTTTATAAGGCTTTGTTTTATAATCCTTAACAAAAGCTTACTGAATTTGATGTAGAAGACGTTGGTTCTGGAAAGGTATAATAACAATCATTATTCTTATACTTGTATTTAAAAAATATATATATTTCCGAATGGCTAATTAAAATTCTTGACTTTAGAATTTACGTGCTGAGTTGCATGACACCGCTCTTGCTTCAATATCCGAGGAGCAACAAGGTTCCGATTCAAACACGGATGAACTTAGGCGATCGAACAGGGTAAATATTATCTGGTTTCTATTTATTTAATAAATAAATATATTCATTTAATTAATTAATATTTAATTAATTAATATTCAATTAATTAATTAACTATTTATTTATATTTCACATTATCTAGGAACCTCGACCACGTAAAACCAACGATGATGAATCTTTACACTCGCGACCCGGTGAAGTGGAGAAATCTAGAGGCGCTGAGGATCACGTTCGAAGATCAAACGGTCAAAGATCAGTTCGCCGACAAGCAACAGATGCAAACAATTCTCCACGTAACTCTACAGGCAATAGAGATGTAGAATCGCAATATCAGATATTATCATCTGAGCTTGGGGTGCAATATGCACTGATTGAAGGAATTTTAAGGAACCGAGATTTACCTTCTCCACACGATAGACGAGATCGACAAATACGTAACAGCTTGGATGGTGATAGTGCTGATTTAACAAGGAGATTATCACGTCAACCGTCTTCTCGCAAAAATAGACGGAAAGGTTAGTTTGATGAAATTTTCATCAAATCTTATCAACCCTTGAAATATGTATACATCATTATATTCTTATATTCATTTTCTATTTTTCCCAATAGCAAACCATGTGTCGGAAATTGAGGTATAAATAATTTATTTAATTTTATTAAATATTATATTTTAATTTCATATTTGACTTTGTATTTAAATTTCATATCTGACTTTAAATTTCATAACTGACTTTATATTTAAACAGCCACCTTCAGAAAGGGCTGAAAATGCACAATCATCTAGGGCTCTTGTCCCACGAAATAATGATATGAATGTTGCTCAACGCAATGCCATGGTTAACAATACTGTAACCATTGCATTATATACTCTGGTTATTTACTTCTTTGGTATCATTACTTCTGTATTTGTTCTTGATAATAATCAAGGACCATACTCTTATAGCGATTGGTTACCTTATGAGGTCGTTAAGGATGATAGTTGGACCGCACGTTCAATGGAAATCATCTTATACTGGGTTGAAAACCTATTAAACGATGGAAATATGCGAGTTCCTACGTAATCGAATTTTAGTTTTTAAATACAGTCAACCCTCATTAATATCAATTATTTGGATTAGACAATTGTGTTGATATATTTGAGAGCTGATAACAACGGCATAGTTTTTATATAGCCTGAACCTATTTTTTCTTAATAAGAGGTTGATATTAGCGAGAAGTTGATATTAACGAGGGTTGACTGTAATATTGAATTAAATCTTCAAATCATATTTTAGATTTGTTAAACTTTTGATTGTACCTCCTTTCTTAATTATTATTTGAATTATCTGCACTTTTCGTACTTCGTAATTTCTTTGTATTATAATTGTTGGGCTTTGTTCCCTTTGCATCCGTTCCTTGTTTATTTTCTTCATCTCGTTTGTTTAAAAAAATGCATACTATCATTTTAAATTTTGGGTTATAAATATTGGAATTTTCTTATTTAGAACTATCATGGTCTTAAAGACAAATTATATATTGCAAACCAAAAAAAAAAAACAAAACAATATTCAAAAAACAAAAGATGCTTCTTGAATGATATGGATTAAATCTGACCAATTTTTAAAATGATATTAATTTTTATTGTAAATTAATTGTTCCATAGACATCAACCAAGGGGAACAAAAGTCACAATTATCACAATTTTATATAAAATATATTATTTATTGCTTTTCGGCTTACTTCATATGTTACAATTCTACGTATCTATATGCACATATACGTTGGGTGTTCGATGTACTATGTAAATCAAATCTATATGTAGTCCTATATGAAAGTAAAGATTTTGTGTAACATTCGTAATAAACTACTGCGGCAACAGTATAGTTTCGATAAAATTTAGCAGTTTTTCTATTATTTTTCGGGTTATAAAAAAAGCTCTATTAATTAAAATACGCTATCCATTGAACGCTCGTGCGAAATTTCTAAATAGATTAATATATATAATCTACAAACAATTGGGATATTCTATAGAATAGGTGGGCAATATAAGAAATAAGCTTCGCTAATGATTAGTAATCATTAATTTTTTAATAGCGGAGTTTGCGGAGTTTGCGGAGTTTGCCCACCTATTCTATTGAACATCCAAAAAGGGCACTCTATTACATCAAAATAAGCTATCATTTGAACTCTCATGCGAAATTTCTAAATAGATTGATATATAGAATGTTGAGAAAATATATGCCGATTTTCTACAAAAAATTGCAAACAATTTATAACTCCGACATTCTACATAACGGATAGCAAATTTTAATGAAATAGAGCTTTTTTTCATAACCTGAAAAATAATTAAATTTTAATCGAAATTATACTGTTGCCGCAGTATCTTTATTATTAACGTAAATGTAACAATCCATTATTTTTAGTTTATGAAAAAAACTCTCTTTTTATGTTATCCCTTTTTTCATAGCCCGAAAAATAAAAAATGAAATTTTATCGAAACTATACGTACTGTGGCCAACAGGTGAGACCGTCCCAAATTAGGAAATAATTATCTGAGTCACCCGATTTTTTTTTTATACGTTTTACAATACTCTATTAAAAAGCCC